GGTAGCTAACTTGCTAGGTTATCTAACACTTAGTCCTGAGGTGTCTTTGAATGGTGTGCTCCACAATGGTAAAAACATGTTGCAGTTGCCATTGAGTCAAAGCATAGGCTTAGGAATCCTAATTCTATTGCTTGCTGACATGTGTATGTTTTGGGGAAGATCCCTTAAGCATTAGTTTCCTCACAGGCAGAGTGAGGGCACTGAATCTCATGTAGAAGTGATAACGTTAAATTGATATAATAAAGTAAAAACACCTAGCACAGCCGCTGTTACCATGGCAGCTAATGGACATCTCTTTGCTACTATTATTTACAATAGATCACAAACTCCTTTATTGCCTAAAACAAGATATATCTTTACTACCAAAACAATGGGCCTATCAAGATTTGCAAAGCAATCTTCAACATTAAATGGCTATGCAAAATCATTTTGTAATGGATTTTCTACAAAGGATTACTTTTGTCTGAGACAAGTAAGAAAAACTACATGTTTACAACTCCTAGCGGTTAAGCGCTTCAAAAGAGAACACCTGTCAAGGTATGTCACGTGGGAGGGCTTGCAAAATCTTGGCATAGTTTCTTACTCTGGGAGCATACTTCCTTCTTAGTAACCAGAAGACAGAAGTAGGTCTGTTTTTTCTAATGCGCAAATATATTTATGAACAAAACTTCAATGACTTGATCTTGAAAGCAGGCAAAATAAAGAAGAAAGGGGGGAAAGTAATACACACTTTTCTTTGACGAAAAGAGAGAGAATACAGTATACATAAAGAGAAATTATTTCAGATGCATTGATGTTTTTTCAAATAAAACGTCAACTTCATTTGTAAAAAGAATACATGTATCCTACAATTAAAAAAAAAAACAAAACCCATTACCATTGAGTCAATTCCAACTCGTAGCGACCGTATTGTATCCCACAATAGAGATTATCTTCTCTTTGTACAAATATCCAGAAAGATTGTGTCAAGGATGAGTACTAATCAAGAAGAAGCCATAAATTTAATATATTTTATTTACTTCCCTGTTCAGTTTTCATCATTACAGATCAAAGCACTAGGTTCCTGTCAGTATAGTCCTTTCTTCATTAAGAAATATTCATCCTACACATAGCTTTTTGCTTAGCATAAAAAATGTAACAGACAACTTCATTTA